CGTCCTTCGCTGCTATAATCTTACTTTACTTACTTCACCTTTTTCCTTCCACGTATGCCGCTAAGCGTTGTGGGGAGATGCAAGTTCCTGTCATAAGCAAGGCGGGCAGCATCTGATGTTCTGAGGCCATGCTTTTGGCAGGTTTCGGAGACCCCGTCAATCCACTGTTTCCTTGGTCTTCCTCTTGCCTTATATCCTGAGCTTCTTTGGTTGAAAATTTGTGATGTTATTTGATCATTTTTCATCCTGGTTAGATGTCCAAACCATTTCATTCTTTGATGTTCTATGTAGTCTAAACATGATGTAGTTTTGACAGTGTTTCTTATGTCTATATTCTTTATCCTGTCTAGTCTGGTCTTATTCGCTGCTTTTCTTAGACATTTCATTTCACAAGCTTCTATTTTTCTTTCATGGGTCTTGTTGATTGTCCATGTCTGGCACTGGTAGCAGAGTGTTGGAATGAAGATGGTGTTTATCAATTGTCTTTTGGTCTTCATGGTTATATCTGGATGTTTAAGCAAAGGTGATAGTTGGTATGTGACAGCATTTGCTTTCTGTATTCTTGTTTCTATCTCTCTGTCCATTCTTCCATCCTCTGTAAATATACTGCCCAAGTATTTGAACTCTTTGGTTTGCTTGATTTTGGCACTTCCAACATTTATATTTAGTGGCCTGAGTGTTCTGCTGATCTTCATAACTTCTGTTTTTTCTGTACTGATTCTCATATTATGTTGTAAACAGCTGTTGTTGAGAGTAGTCAGATGTTCCTGTAGATCATATTCATTTTGATACAGTATGCTTTGATCATCAGCAAAAAGTAATTCGTTTATAGCATACACGTCTGGGTTTGCTTCTACAGTGATCTTATCCATGCTATAATCTTTACTGCATTTAAACCTTTTTGAGGCTTTGTCATAACCACCTCTGTGTGACCCTTGAAAGACAAACTTCTGTCAAAGCTGTCTCTTTTGATGTCTCTGCCATTTATTTTAAGTCTGAGAACATCCGCTCTAACAATCCTGTTGTCCAAAGAACATCACAGGACCCTTGCCTTTTCTGGGCTGATTATAACACTCATCTCTGTACACCAGTCGATCACCTTATCTACTGTCGCCTGTAACTCTTAAGCTATTCAATTCCGATCTCTTCCCTTCTTATATACTTGAACATGATCTGCAAATGTCAATATTCTAGCAACTCCAGGTGTTTCTATATATGCAGTCTTGCATGTAAAAACATAGAACAGCAAAGGGAAAATTGTAGATCCCTGTGGTAGTCCTGGACCTATAATGCATGGTTCAGAGGTCCATAAACCTAGCCGAAGAGCTGCCCGGCGAGTTACAAAATAGCTGCTATCCAGTTCACCAACCAAGGACAGACTAACTTCTTCATAAGCGCTTTCATCAAAATACTGTATCTGACTGTTGTAAGCATCTTCTAAATCAAGTGCCGCTGCCACTGTTTCCTGTCTGATTTGGAAACGTTCAAAGGTGACACAGACAAAAGTGGCTACATTTGACCATGTGTACTTCCCTGGTCGGTAACTTACCAGTCCTTGTGGAAGGATATTTCTCTGTTCCAAATATTTTTGTAGCTCAGCCACTATCT